TAGGGTTTACCTAATTTTTCTCCCTAATCCGATTTTAATTGATTCTGCATGTTATTATTTCCATATTTATGTTTGATTTACAGTGTTTCCTTCTTCGTTTGCTTGATTTTTACTACTATATAAATCCCTCCCCTATTTCCCTTTGGGACAGACTTTAATCACCGGGATTCACTAAAAAAACTCAAAGCTATCACTCTATTATTCCGTCATTCTCTTGTTCTATACTTTGGCTCTTGGCCGGCTGAAAGCCAAGGCCACCGGAACTTGATTATTCAGCCTTTCTTAGTGCGAGCACTGTCCGGGGTTCATTTGAAACCCTTGGGAACTCTGATTCACTAAGATTCTGGGTTCTATTGCTCTTTATTGACGTTCAGAGTACTGTGGAGTTTGTTCTTTCTTGTTTGTCTGTTTATAAATTAATAACTGGTAAGTTCCTAAGCTTTTGCAATTTCATTCTCTTGTGTTCATGTCTTGCATATTCATACCTCTGAAATTTCATGACGTAATGTGTTTTCTAAACCATCTCTGTGTGCAACCTTGCTGGCACTGAATTTGTTTTATTATCTGCACTTACGTAGCATTTGATTTTACCAAAAATTTCCAGTTCTATTCCATGCTTATTCTACATGCTTAACTTGAATAATTTGGACCCTCTTAAGCTCGTTTAGCCTAGCGTGTTTGTGCCTGAATGTTTACATTTTGTCTATTTGGCATGAGTTTTCTTCCCTCCTTTGTTCTAATTCATTGTAATGACTAGCTCATACTTAGAATATACTCTAATCTCTGTCAACGCATTCATATTAACCATGATCTGCTCCCATGCTAGTTTTGTCATTTTATTATGTCTTTGATCTGCTAAATCCTATATCCCTCAGAGATTATTTGAGACCTTTAGAATAGCTATCCTAACTTGTATTTTTCCCTATAAAGTTTAATATTGGTTGCTTCATTGATGTAAGTTGGCATTGTGATGGATAATTAACACGACCAAGATCTCTAGGCTTTAAATCTTTTAAATTGTTACTCTATCTGACATTTATGCACTCTGATGTTTGTCTTACAACCTTTGAAAACCTGATTCCTCTAACTATCTCAATATGTTTTCTGCCAATATGCTATCTCTTGCTAAGTGTTTGAACCTGTAATACAAACTTGTCCTTTAAGTCTTGTTGATTCTCCTAACTGGCATGTTCTATGTTTTAAGCAACTATGCTATGTCTGTTTCTAAACTACAGGTGCACCTCTATCATTAATCATTATTCTCTCACTCTCATCTATTATCTACATTATTCTAAATCTATCACTCTTGGCCGGCTGAAAGCCAAGGCCACCAAAACTCTCTCTATTGACCTCCCTAGTGTGAGCACTTCGCGGAGTCCATGTGAGACTCTTTTGAACTATGACACACTAGGATTTGTGGTCCTTTGGCCACTCTCTTTGCTGTTGGAACTTAAGATTTCTCTGACACTTTGCTTTTCTCCCTCATTTTATTTTGTTGAATCTGCAAACTGGTTTGCTTCAGTGAATTCCGTGTAATTCTAAAAGTTACTTGGGTAATATGTAATTGTTTTGCCTTGCATGAGTTCCTCTATGACTTTTGGGCTGTGCTGATGGGCATTGTCTCCTGGTTGAGAGATGCTTGGACCCGGGCATGCTAGTTGTGGAAGTTAAGCTTGTTGAAGGCCCAGGCAAGCTGGGTTGTCTTCATTTTAGGCCTCGTTCTTGGGCCTGTAATTTTATTCACGTGTAGTAGTTATATTTATATTCTTTGGGCCTGTAATAATTTGTAATAACAAAAAATTTGGGGTGTTAGTGAAATTGGGGAAGCGGGTATATTCTAATATTTGCATAAAATGGTAGAAAGCATCCCTAAAGGATTCATATGACTTACTTGTTATTTTATCCAACCTACCATCTATGCTATTTAGCTTTCATATACACTAGTAGAAACTATGCCTATAGGGAATCACACACAATCACTCAACTTGTTAACTATACCTGCTGCTACACGTTATTAGACAACATGCCTATAGGGAATCAGTGTCCATAATTGTTTGTTAAATTTGTGCAATTGTAGCATGTTCGCTAGATACCATGACTATAGGATCACATTAATATTCATCTAGATATCATGTCTGTAAGACCTTAATTGACTAATTAGCTATTGTTGTCGCTATTTTTATCACGTCACTCACTTAGATAGCATGCCTATAGGGATAAACGATAAATCTGCCAACTATTGGAACCTAGCTATAAAATGCTGCTACTCGCTTAGAAAGCATGCCATTAGGATCAAACACGAGTAATTCTGAGTATTTCCAATGGGTTTTACTGGCCCTATTGCGTAAATCACTTAGAGATCATGTCTATAGGTCTTAATAACTTATAATCTATAATCTCAATGATCAGCATAGCAGTACCACATACTCTTAAACTGGGTAGTCATTTAGAAACCAAGTCTATAGGTTTAAAGTGATGTTTTTCATGTTTTACCTTACTACTGTATTTACTGCTTTTACATACTTATCGTGCAAATACTTGGCAACATGTTATTATCTCTGCATAAAGCATGCTCCACATCATACTCCACTCGTGCCAATTATCAACATAGCGGCGCTTAATGAGTGTCTGCACTCTTCCAAAATTACCCTTTTTAAATTGGAAAGGCTTATTTGCGGTAGACTAGTCGATCAGTGGTGCAGTCGACGGTCCTGTGCCTTTCCCTCTCAAGTTGTCCACTTGAGGGTATCAGTCTAAACCATTGTAGAAACCTTACTCCAATATCAATTGTACATGCATCATGTTAAACCTAGTACGGGTTAAAATGTTGTTAACGTAATAGCCCGCTAAGATAAGCCTTTTCCAAAGTGTGACGGGATTTCCATAATCCCAATGGATACTATCATGTTATGTGCATTACTTGGAGAAAATGTGCCAATATGTTGATCATTATTGTGCAAGTGGCGAATCCGGAGGGGGAAAGGGCTAACATTATTTGTTTGCAGAAAATGAAGCAAGAAGTCCCCAGGTTTGGCATTGTCCAAAGCATCCCACCTCTGCTACTTGACTGGTGGAAAAACCTCGCGCCTTGCGACAAGAATCATATGAGAAGGGTACTTGGTGACTTGCCACCTTTGCTCGACATCCGACCAAATAGGGCATTGATTGAGGCCGCTACAATGTTTTGGGGTGAGAAAAGGGATGTCTTCTGTTTTGGTGACATAGAAATGACTCCTCTCCTAGAAGAAATAGGAGGCTTCGCTAAGTTGCCATGGGATAGTCCAGGATTACTCGTGCCAGAGAATCGCACCCCTCGTGGTTTTCTAAAAATGCTTGGTTGTTGCTTTGTTTGAAGAAATTATACATCCCATTTGAATTTCTTTATGAGCGTTACGGTCACAGTAAGTCATATCGCCTTCATCATGATGAACTTGCCATTACTTCTTTGGGTTGGACGCACCGCCGAGTTTATGTGTTCATCGTCTGCTTCTTGGGGTTGTTGATGTTTCCAATGAAAGGGGGAAGGATTCATACTCGTCTAGCCATGGTCGCCAGAACTTTGATGGAAGGCATCGAGGGACAATCTTATACCATCATCCCCATGATCTTAGCTGAAATGTACTGCGCTCTAGATCGGTGCAAACAGGGATTCGGGCACTTCGAAGGTTGTAATCTGTTACTGTAAGTTTGGCTGTTGGAACATTTTTAGATGGGAGAATATCGTCAAGAGCTTCTGCGACGGCTGTTGAATGACTACATAGCTTACCATCACCTAAAGAAAATGACATTTATTCTAGACAAGTTTGCACAACCTGGAAATGCTATAAGTTGGGTGCGTTTCTTCAGCAATTTGACAGACGAGCAGGTACATTGGATGTTTGAATGGTTTCCTAGCAGTGAGTTCATCATCAGGTCATGAGAGACTACTCATCTGGTACTGATCGGGTTGAGGGGCATCTATCCTTATGCTCCTATAACGGTAATGAGACAAGCGGGAAGAAAGCAAGTTATACCTCGGGTTTCCAACACGGTCCAGTACAAAGTAGATTTTAAAGAGGACGTCATTCCATTCATGTTCAAGGCACAACATATGTGGAACCAAAAGATCATTGTGGAAAAGGAAACTATTGAGCTAGACAAGTATCATGCCGGTCATGTGTACTTCTACCCATCATGGTTGGTAGACGATATAGCAGTAGACGTCAAGCCGGGAACAGTTGATGCTGCTGAGGCACATGTCATGTATAGGAGGCTACACAAGAGGATTCTCGAGTCTGAGGCTTGACATCTATAACAACACAAAGTGGATATGGAAGCAATCAACGAATGGAAGGAAATTGCCACTATGTCAACAGAGAGAATGGAATATTTGGAACAAGGATTGATGGAGCTTGAGGGGATGATGAGAAAGAGGCCTTCAGATTGTCAAAACACGGATGGAAATGAAGGAGGGCATCTAGAAAAGGCTTACTTATTATTGGATATGCGCGATCTGGGGAACCTAATTGATGGAGTCAAGAGAGCTAAGCACGGAGAAGATCATTCTGGGACCAAGTAGATTAGGAAATAATGTTTTTTACTGCTTTCTATCTTAGATTTCGATTGTAATAAGGCCAAGTGCCATTAGTAACTTTATCATTATTGTCGATTTAGTAAGGGTTTGATTCATTTTCGCATTAATGAAATGACGCAATTATTGGCATCAATATTTCTCCAAGTCTATGTGTCGCTTAAGCCTATATCGGGCACAACGAGGTCCCCCAAATTAGGACGCGAATTTATTTCATGCTTTTTGCAATGAATGTTTAATATTGCAAGCATTCTTTCAATACCCCTTACTAACTTGGTTACCTTTTTGTTTTTCTTTCTTTTGATTATTCCCATTCCTAAAGGTTGGTACGTGCATACTGGCATCATCCGCATATCACACTAGATACAGAGGTCCTCCACCTCCTCTTCCACCAAGTGATCCTAAAGGTAGAAGCAAAGGGAAAGAAAAAATGGATGATTTGAGCGGTATCAAGAAAGACAACGCTACTATGGCAGAAAATGCCAAAATCTCAGATGGCCGAAGTACCCCGGCCCAGAACGAACTGGTCTTATGTCTGGAACAAAAAATCTTGGAGCTACAAGGAGAACTTGAGCTGGTCCGAAACTTGGCAAACCTTTCTCTCACTCTTAGTGTCCCTGACATTAACCAACAAAATCCTAATACCCAAAACCAAGCACCACCCCAGAACACACAAAACCAAAATCCACCGCCAAATCCCCCTGCACCACACCAATACCCCACACCTCCTCAGAACCTTAACCCTCAGCCAGTACCTACCCCTAAACAACACCACCATCACCCAACTCAATACCCACAAACCACCACTTATCACACTTCCCAGAATGCACCACAACCTACTCCTGATCACCAAAACTCAAACAATTACCACCCTTATGCCCAGATTCCCGGAGTTCACCCAAGCAATCCCATATATGTGGAAACATTACCCCATACCCCACAACAAACCCTATGCATACCTTAATCAACTGAGAAAGACCTGCTCATTAAGAACATGGCGGAAGAACTCAAGAAGCTCGCTGGCAGAGTTCAGTGTCGAATGTGGTAAAAGCATTAAAGGTTTGAACTATGAGGACTTGTGCATTCAGCCTGATGTGGAACTGCCAGAGGGTTATAAACCTCCCAAGTTCGAAATGTTCCATGGAACTGGTGATCCGAAATTGCATCTAAGGACTTATTGTGACAAGCTCGTAAGAGTGGGCAAAGATGAACGAATCCGTATGAAGCTGATCATGAGAAGTCTCACAGGAGATGCTTTGTCTTGGTATATCAGTTAGAACCCAAAAAAATTGGGTTAGTTGGGTAAGCATGGCATAAGACTTCATGGACAGATTCAGGTTCAATGGAGAAAATGCACCAGACATTTTCTACATTCAAAATCTCAAAAAGAAACGAACAGAAACTTTCGGCGAGTATGCTACTCGGTGGAGATCTGATGTTGCGAAAGTAAGGCCAACAATTAAAGAAGAACAAATAAATAAGTTCTTTGACAGAGCTCAAGAACCGCAGTACATATGAAAGGCTGATGGTTATTGAAAACCATAAATTCTCTGGCATCATCAAGCTGGGAGAAAGAATAGAAGAAGGGATTAAGAGTGGAACGATAACGAATTTCGAAGCACTGCAGGCTACAAATAAAGCCTTGCAATCGGGAGGTATCTCGAAGAAGAAAGAAGTAGGTGCTGTAATGGTGGCTCAGGGTCCTAAGTCTCCTCTCACATACCAAACACCTCCATCTACATACAACACGCCTACACCCACATACCAGCCTTCACCCCCCAGATACCAACAACCTGCTGCCACCTACCACACCTATAACACCCAACTCGCATATTATCACTCACCACCACCCGCCCGCCAGAATTACCAAAAACCACGACCAAACTTTGACCGCAAACCACCCAGACAATACACTCCAATTGCTGAACCCATAGACCAACTATATAAGAGACTGAAAGCTGCTGGTTATGTCACTCCCTTTCCTGCCGTTGCTCTGGAAAATTCTTATCAGTGGATTAATCCACACAAGACATGTGCCTATCATTCAGGCATGAAGGGCCATATCATTGATGAGTGTCGCACACTGAAGGACAAAATTCGGACATTAATAGACACCAAGGTCATACAGGCAAGGAAGACGCACCGAATGTTCATACCAATCCTCTCCCGGACCATAGAGGTGAGGGAGTGAACGTGTTAGAGACTGACGAGGAATGGGATCCGGAGGGGTCAATCGGACTCATCCGAGAGGGAGATGATCCTAAAACATATCCAGTCACCCTCACACCCGTTGTGGTACAAACCCAAGCACCATTTGAAGTGGAGGTAACTACACCCTTCACTGTGATGGTAGCTCCCACACCATCCTACAGATCTGATGCTATCCCATGGGATTATGTTGCGGAAGCAATGAGAAAAAGGAAAAGCAAAAATGGTGGAAACGGGTGCGGCACAAGGCATGACTAGAACTGGCAGGGTTTATACACCTGAGCACCTAGGAGGAACAAGCAAAGAAGCTGCATCTAAGCCGCCTATTGTTGAGACTGACCCTGACGACCTTTGGAGAAAGGTACAAGCAAGAGAATACTCCGTTGTTGACCAGTTGAACAAAACTCCCGCTCAGATATCCATCTTGTCACTACTACAAAACTCTGAGATACACAGGAATGCCTTGATGAAAGTGTTAAGTGAAGCTTATGTACATACCAACATCACTAGTGTGGAGATGGCCAACATGGTCGGGCAGGTACTGGAGAGCCACAAAATCACCTTTCAGATGAATTACCACCAGAAGGATTAAGTCACAACAGGCAGTACACATCACAGTGCAATTTAAGGTTAAGTTCATCGCCAGGGTCCTGATAGATGGAGGTTCGATCAATATATGCCCACTGACTACTCTGAAGAGGTTGAGTAAAGGCCTGCACGAGATACGAGCGGGAAGCATGAATGCAAAGGCATCTGATGGATCTTAAAGAGCCACCATCGGAGAAATCAACCTCAGCCTACAGATGGGTCCTACCTGGTTTGATGTCGAGTTCCAAGTGCTGGATATATCTGCTAGCTATAACCTATTATTGGGGCGGCCCTGGATACATGCCGCTGGGCCAGTGGCTTCTACTCTACATCAGGCTGTGAAGTTTGAATGGAACCATCATGAGGTAATCATCCATGGAGATGGAAGTAATCCCGTCTACACCAATCAGACCGTTCTAGTCATCAAGAATAGGAAGAAGCTGGGTAGAGAAACATACCATCGCATTGAGCACGTAAACGCAATTGAAAAAGACAAATAGTGGACATTAAGATAGAAAGCATACTGCTCTGGACAGGGTATGAACTTGGCAAAGGTCTCTGCAAAAACCTCCAAAGGATAACCAAACTAGTACAACCGAAACATCATGGTACAACTTTCGGGCTTGGGTATTAATATACTTGGCAAGAGTACCAAGATTGGTCACCACCATGGCGTGGTCCTTATTATCCGTTGAGCAACCGGTACCACATTTGCACCAAACATTTCGTCAAGCTGACATGATGTTGGGGTCTGAGGAAGATGAAGTCTTAGCTAGCATGAGGAAGATGTTTTTAGATGAAGAAGATATCGACTGCAGTGCAATAGTTGAGGAGGAGGAGGAGGAGGAAGACCTTACCATTCAAATCGTTGAGAAAGGAGCTGTTCTCAAGAACTGGACTGATGCACCATCCCAGGCCTGTCAAGTTCCTGGGTAGCCTGGACAATTAGCACCAATTATTTTAAAATAGTTTTGAGCATTTAAGACATTTTCAGTATTTTGTTTCGAACGTATTTTGTTTTGAAATAATTGCTCGAGTCATCGAGCCGTACTTGTTGACGTTTTCAAGATTTTATTAATGCATTGCTATTTTTAGCATTTATTATTGTACTTTACATTTTTCCTTTACAACATTATTGTTACCTATCCCGATGAACCTACGACTGCGACGTGTAATGAGACAACGCAACATAAGGATAGTGGTTCAGAGGATCTAGAAGATGATATAATTGTCACAACCCAACTCGATGGGGCGTGACGAGTGCCCGAGTTTTACCTATCGAACACCTCTAAGCATATGTCTAAGATATAAACATGAAATAAGTGTAGGTCATGCATAATGTCTGGCAATAAATTACTGATTTATGTGAATAACATACGCGGAAAAACATGCCCAAAAAACATATATACATATATATACGGAATACAGTAGGGGCCGACAAGGACACATACTATCTAACTACACATGACTATCTACATACCTCTAACAGAGTGTACACTGTATAAAGGATCGGACTGGGCCCCGTCATACCCATATGTATACAAAAGTATCGTACCAAAACTCAATAGTAGCTTCGGATCAAATGGAGCACACCAACTCTCGCGCCGAGCAAGAATCCTAAGAAGGGGGACTGTCAGCCTGTCTACCTGCATCTGCAGGCATGAAACACAGGCCCCCAAGAATAGGGGCATCAGTACAAATAATGTACCGAGTATGTAAGACATAAAAATTAGTATATAAAAGACATGAAAGAAACATAGAGAAAAAGGACTCAACCCGTAACTCTGAATAGCTCTATGAATCATGAAACATTTATAATGTCATGCATATGCGTATAAATGTCATGTCATGCATAGGTATATGCGTAGATAACATCATCAAGCCAATGAGGGCATCCCATCATATCAACTCAGCCTCTGTCGCTAAAATCATAAATGTATATCAGTTGATCATGTGGTGGTGCGTATATCACGCCATAACCTTTCCCCATACCCCATATACATATACTATACGTGTATAAAACGCCATCTGGTCATGGGTCAATATACATGTATAAATGAATACAATGCATAATTAAGTAAGTCAATAAGATATCTTGGAATGTCTTGAGACCCATGAACAGACGATATGATAGTAGGACATATGGGAAATCCAGAACATAGGCAACCCTACTACTTCTAAGAATAGAATCATTTGTGAAAGTTGTGTGCTTGCTCGTTTCGTTGTGTCATATGGATCATGCCAAAAGGAAAGGAGGGATAGCCTTAACATACCTCAAGTCGTCAATGCAATTCCACAACAAGCTTATGATAACTAGCGCACCAACCCTGTAATAAAGAAATACATGTACGACTTTGATGGCGCTAGTATATTAGGTATCCCAAATGATAACTCGATTCTAAAATAAAACGTGCAGCATTTCCCCTGATTTTACTGCTCCCTCAAGCCTACTATAGGCGAGATACAAACACAATACACTTAGAAACTCAAAACCAACCTAATTACACTCCGGGACCTTTAGTACAACCAAACCCCCTAATATACCATAACACACCCAATCAACAAAATGTCAATTAGCCTGAAACTGCAATGACGAGCGATCAACCTACTACCCTACCACATGTGGCACTTCTCCACTCCATTTTATCCTTCGAAACTTCATAAATAAGCAGCAAAATAGTCCAACACAAGTGGACTACAAAATAGTCCAGTAAAAGTGGGAAAAAATCGAACTCACGGCTTCCAATCAGCGTCCCGTGAGTTCTAACTATTAGGAAACAAATTTATCAACCTTCCTTGATATTTAAACACTTAAATACAAAAATTAGACGTTTCTTAACTATGAAGTACCTTGCAAAACACTAACTACAAAAAAAAAAAAAAGAGGCGGTATAATGATACTTACGTCGTAGGGATCGTTCTGATGTTATCGCTTCTCGATTTCGTACCCTGGATGTTAGTATTCTTTGTAACCTTTGGAGAGCTTAAGGATAGGTTTTTATGGCGTTCTCTGGTCGGTCTCAATGTAAAAGTGAAGTGAGAGACGAGCTAAAACCAATATATAAACTTTTGAAAAGTCAAAAGAGGTGCTAGCTTGGCACCCTCGCATTAACCCATCTTCCGACGCGTATATCTTTTTATCCGGATGTCATATGAAAAAACCGTTAA